CCCCCCCCCCCCGGTCAAACAATGGCCTTGTCTCCTATTTCGACCGTCTTTTGACGGTGCAGAGCATACCACTGCTTGTCCTCAAGGAGGATTACGTACTGTGACGCAAATATGTTGTACAAATACAAAAGTGAGAAAGGGAAACCATTAATTCAAAGAGTCCAATTATTATCAAGAGGATTTATATGTAGACTCTATATTATTTTGTAAGCTTATGTCAACGGGTCGAAAATGTTTAGTCAAAATGTTATATCTACAACCCATTATTGCTAAATTATATTATTGTTTGGGAGTCGTTGGCAAGCTTTTGAATCAAACAGAACATATTATTGGTAGTGCTTTTGAAAACGAAATCAGGACGCCTGGAAAAAAGAACGCTGGCAGTCAGATTTTAATTTATATAATTGATTGATTGGTAACTGGAGCATTTGTGGCGGTATCAACAAAGGCAGTCACGATCGCAAAAAAACAAACAAACAACAACAACTGATTGTTTCATTACTATAAAAACGCGCAGAAACAGACTGCTATTATTTACGTATGCACACAAAACCGTAAGTACAAGAGGCAAATTTTAATTCTCTATACATGGATTGTAATAGGAAAGATTTTTTAAAAGTCAGCCAACAACTGATGGTATTAAAAAAAATGGAAATACAAATCTAATAATATTATGTTTTAATGTACTGCCTAAACCAGTGCCTGTCTATCTTATTTATAGCCAGAGTCTACTTTTGCCTGCTTTAATTAAGGGACTAACTTTTTAGTACCTCTTACCTACATGTATCCTTTAAGTGGAACGTAAAATAATACACTGTCACAACACAGGTAATCCCCATAGCCTACCAAAAGTACTTAATGGCCTCCAAGTTGTCGAGACCAAGTTTGATTTAAGAGGGAAAAGGTATTGTAATAATAATGTCAAGCACACAGAAAGAGGTTCAACAAAATAATTTATGCCGTACAGATACAACAAGCACACAAGCGTGCGCGCGCGCGTGCACGCGCGCACACACACACACACGCACGCACACACACACACACAC